ATCACAGGATAAATCGCAAACTAAGGGAAAAGAATGTACTACTGAAGAAAGTTTTTGAATTAAAACTGTAAGCTCTTCTATGCTCCCAAGGTATTCTGTGCCTAATTTTATAAGCACTTCCTACTTTCCTGTCATCAGTGACTTGCTTGCCTGATTTTCCCATAATACTGTATGTTCTTTCAGGTCAGAGATCTTTTGCCAAATACCTGGCACATCACTGAAGTTAAATATTTTGAAACTAAAGAATAAAATTGTTTTGAAAATTCTTAACACATTAAGCAGGTACTGATAACAAACATGGTTTATGACTTTCAGAAGCTACTTAGGAAAAATTAACATTATCTTTGCCCCAACAGTAAACACATACCTTTTTAAACCCAAGAATGATCTTCTGGAGTTAAGAATGATAAGATTATAGTTATAAAATGAATAAACACATATTAAATGAAATTTGAATGTGCTATACATAGAATGTGATACAATAAAAGGTATGTGGGGCTGTATCAATGCTAAGGAATCACCTCTCTGAATCTTGCCAAGGTTTCTCCTGTTCATAATCTTTCACTGCTTTCTCTGATTTGTCCTCTTTGTCCTCCCTCTTTCTTCCTCGTTTTTTTCGTTCTTCTTCTTCTGGGGGTTTGCTCCTACATGCCATCAAACATTCTAAGACTCTTTGATGTTTCTCCGAGTTGTTGATATGGGCTCTGACCAGGGTTTCTAATTCATTCCACATGATACGGTACTGTTCGTCTCTGTGGGAAAGATTTAAAACATTCTTAGAAATGTTCTTTAAATAATATTTATCATTAAATAATATTGAAGTGTTACTTGCTACTGATAAAAGTAAAAGGAAATAAATATGTTTTGTTTCCCCTCTTACCCCAGTAGCTAATAGTGGAATTCTAAATTACAATATATCTATGTCTGCTATTCTCACATCTCCATTATTATGTACATGCGTGTATACACACACACACAGCCTCAAATATAATTTATGCATAGAATAAATTATCTTATGAAACATTATGTATCAAGTAAATGTGATATATAAGGAAAGTAAGGAAAAAAGCTACCTTTTAGGGCCCTTTCCTCTTGTACCAACTGTGGAAATAGGTAGAGGATCATTTTTTCTTTCCATATCAACTAAGTTGTATATTGTTTTTTGACAGTTTAACACATCTTCTTCTGTCAAAGATTCTTTCACAATAACACTGGCTAATGGAACTACCTGTTAGATTTTTTTTAAAAAGAAAAAAGAGAATCTGTCTTGAAAAACAAATATCAAAGCATCTAGGTGAACTTGATTTTAAAATTGACTTTAAAGAATACCATGGTGATATAATCTATAACTACTATTTAATTTTCAATAACTAATTCTTTAACTTGAGCAAACACACATATTACATTCTTTGCCTGATAAAGGTATAAATTACAAATTTTCTAATTTGTTTCTATAAAGAATATGTAACTAATTTAGGGAAAAAAGTGAAATTATACACTTACCGCTTGCATGTTGAAAATGGTGGTTTGTGAAATAATCATAGGCCAATAACGGGTGTGTTTTTCTAACTGATCTTTTGCTCGTTCCAAAGGGATCTCAAGACTTCCATCGATTTTATATCTGGGGTCTAGAAAAGGAGTTAATCTGTTTTCCCTCATAAATTCACCAAAATCCTAATGATAACCAAATAAGATAAAATTAGAAACTATTTCTACTGTTTCAGTATGGATTACACGTAATAGTCATTTTCCCTGATGTCTTCTCTCCTGTGATTTGCAACAAAGCACTTTTTCTAACAGCTGTCCCCTCACCTCACTTTTTTCAAACTTGAAACCTATCAGCCTTCATACAAGGGAAATGAAGAAAGCCTCAAAATGCATAATATATTCATGCTGTTTTTTCCCTTTTTAAAAACCCGGGAACATTCATTTTATTTCACTCCTATAATTTAACTCTTTTCTATTATATAAAAGAATGAGTTATTTACATTAGAAGACCAATTTGCTTCCTTAAAAACAGCCTTAACATAATATTACAATGTTAACAGTGGATATTGCTAAATGATGGAATTGTAGGTAATTTACAGGTTTTTGCTTTTGTTTTTAGATGTCTGCATGCTCTATATTTTCCACTCAGCTTTATAATGAGTATTCTTTTTAGTTGAAAAAAAAAAAAAAGGCCTACTAAAACAATTACTTTAAGTACATACACTCTGGTTTATAAAGTATATTTGTATACATAAATCATATTTAATTCTTATAACTACCTCGAAAAGCAGACAGCCATGAAATATCAAATATGAAAATGGGAGGAAGAATGAAAAATATTAGAATCAAAACCACAGAAATTCTAGCAAAAATACTATTTCTTTGTATGCTCTTCCTGATAAGAAAAAAAAAATAATGTTACTTCAAAGTGGTAGCAATACAAAGACTCAAAAAAGTTTTTGCTTACCATTTAAATTACTAGAAATTAAATTTTATAATTCCAATGTGTTAGTATAATCCAAATACTTCCATATACAATCCAGATACTTCTCACTGAATATACAATAATGGAAGACTACATAGTGATAAGTAGATCTTTTGATCAAGTATTAAAGGAAGTTCAACTATTTAACAATCAACTTCTTCCAAACTCTTTCTTTTATAGGAGCTCAATAACTACTTGCTAATTGATATTAGACTCAAACATAACATTTATTAAATTCTTACTGTAATCCGGTAGTCTGTAACTCTTCCTCCACATCCCTCGCTAATTGAAGGTGGATCCTCTAGAATGGATCGAGAACTGCTAAGGACATGCAAAAAAATCTCTCCTCCATGGCTACTAAGCATATGACTAATGACTTTGGAACCCGACTTTCGTGGTTGTTCCAACAAAACAGAACGACCTGTCAAAAGCAAGAATCCTATCAGTAATAAAATTCAAATAGATTTATTTATTCCCTTGAGATTTATGTCTAGATTTTTTTCATTTTATTTACTGATTCCCATATTTTAACCAGCACTGCTAACTTAGTATATTTCAATAATTAAAAATCTGAATTCTAGCAATAGCTTATTTTCAGATACTCCAAACTTACACAGAAATTTGGACAGTTTTCCAAAACACGTATAATGGTTTCTAATACAACCAATTTCAAGTTCACATATAATTTTTCTCCTGGACATTTAAGAAGAAAAGTAAGAAAACTGCTGGATAATCCTCAGATTACTAATGCTACAAGATATGTGGGGAGAAGACCCAGTCTCAATTTACCTTTTATAATAACTCCTTATCAGTTCTATTATCATAAATACTTCCTACTTCACATGTCCAAATATTATTAAATCTGATTTTACACAGGGTGATAATTAAAATTGTGCTTAACATAGCAATGAGATAGGCTTTATGATAAGGACAGACTGACTTCTTAGTTCAATGATTCCAAAACCTAGCTGATCATATGAAGAGCTTTTAAAACTTAGACTTATAAAAATGGTCTATATTATTCTAGATTCTAAAAAAGAAAATAAAGACTCCAAAGTCCAAATTTTTAAAAATAAAAATACTTAAAAATATGTTAAATAAAACTCACTTAGACACAATAAATATGAAATTTATAAAATCATCTTATTTTTTAAACCTTAGTGAACCTGTTAAAGGCTATTTCAGATTTTTAAGTTTAGAACAGTTTTGGCAAATACATAGTTAGATTATGTTGAAACAAATACCTTTCCAGAATTTATATTACTAATGATTTCACTTATAATAATCTCAGTCAAAACCATTAAAGGATGAGAGTTACCATTTAGAAGAAAATTAGTAAGGCAGGAAGAAGGTCTACTATTTACATCTACTGGTGAAATTCGATAAGCTCCAGTACAATAGTGTAATTCTGAAATAGAAGAAAACACTGATTTGAAAGAATATAAAGAAATATTCATTTCTACAATTTAAAAAAAAACTTGCTTTTTGAGTCCCTAAACCAATACAAATCAAAAATTCAAGAAGAAATTAACCAATCTTTGTATAATATTTGAGCAATCATTTGATTTGTTCTTTTCTCTTTCAATTGTTTTTAAATACCTACCAATGTTATTTGTCCTTGGTGTGCACCACTTTAAAGTTATCGTTTCTTTAAACGGGCCTTCTCTACTGCTGCCACCTAAGTGGGTATCACCTTTAAAAATTTGTCAAGAAACATTAGTATTACTAAATAGGTCGTAAACTTTAAATTAATTGTTTGAACAAGATTTCAAAATGAGTTTAAGCTCTATGAGATGCATACTTCTGAAAAAAAAACATTATTTTTATAAAGTCCCCTAGAAAAATGCCAAGCAGAATATGGATATTACCTACAATTAAAGGTAATATGTAATTTCCCTCCAACTTTTCATTAATTAAACATTTCAGGTTAGTACACTGAATGTCATTGGCAAAAATTTTAAGAATCTACAATAATTCCTCCTTACCCATATCCTTACATGACAAAATAACGTAGTTAAATACTCAAAGGCTTAAGGAACCTAAAATGCACAACTAATTTTACCAAATCCTTATAAGTTTATTAAAGAGAAACACAGCCAAGGGATCTATGAAGTTGAACTTTGAACAGGATACATTTACATTATTAGTGCTTGTAATAGAGAGATTTGACCTATTCTGAAACACAAGGGAGAGGTTGCTTGACTTCCTTGACTGGTATGAGTTCTAAGAAGATGAATAGAAATTAAAAGAAATGGAGAGAAAAAAGCATGAAGATTATCAGGTCTGCACAGATGAAACAGAGAGGAGTATGTTTTGAGATAGAAAGGCAGAGAGGCCAGACAATGCAGAGCTTTGCAGGACATTAAAATAGTTTTGTCTTTGTCCCAAGGGCAACAGAAAAGCACTGGAGGGTTTTAAGCTAATGGGAACATGATCAGAATTAGCATTATGAAAATTCATCTTACTGGAGGGTGAAAACTGTATATAGACAGACCTTTTAGGAGACTGCTATTGAAATGTTGGGCAAGAAAACAATAGACTTCATTAGAGAAACAGTAATGGTTGCAGAGATGCAGATGTGAAAATACTGAAGATATTTAGTAGATGAAATCAAGAAAATGTGATAATGAGGCTGAACATGGTGGCACACACCTATAATCCCAGGGAGGTTAAGGCAGGAGGATTGCAAATTCAAGGTCAACCTCAGCAACTAAGTGAGGCTCTAAAAAACTTGGTGAGAGTCTGTCTCAAAGTTAAAATAAATAAACAAATAAAAAGGGCAGGTAAGGACTGGGGATGTGGCTCAGGGGTTAGGCACCCCTGGGTTCAATCCCTAGAACAAAAAAGAAAAGAAAATGTGGTGATGAATTAGATATGAAGAATGACCAGTATCTCAAAGATGATTCTGAGATTTATGCCTTATACAACTGCAAAGATGACAGGGCCATCCACTGTAAGAGAGAACATTAGAAGACCAGTTCAGGAAGCAAAGCTCATTAATTGTTCTGAGCATGCTGAGTTTTCAATGGCTGAGAGACAACTATAAGATACAATTTCAAGGTAGAATACACAGATGTGGAGCATAGTAGACACACATGGGCTAAACTGGAAGCCTACAATCACCAAGTTCCAGCTCTGTTGTCACCTCCTTGGTACAGCTTAACTAACTCTCAGAGATATAATCAGCAGCCTCCTCTGTATTCCCACAGTGCTCTAATTCCATTGCTACATTACACATGGTGTCTACATGTTAACACGTACAACTACAAGTTAAGCTAACAACTATTCCAGAGAAATATTTTGTACTATCAACATTTTAACATTTAAATTATACTTTACATATTTTTTCTAAGTTTTAAAAATAAATAATCTAAAAACTGACATCACCTTACAGGTTCTTAGCAATTTCCACAAATTATATTTTTAAAAAAAGTTTTCTACATTCCTTTGTTAAACACTGTTACATTCACATAATTTTTTTTTTCCTTTCTGTTAGCCACTCACTAGATGAACTCCAAGATTGCTTAGACATGAACAAATGATACAACTGGCTCATGATCATACTTCAGAATAGTTACAAACAAGATCAAAGTCAACCATTTAATTCTCTAATAGCACAATCTACATAAAAAATATTCTACAGATTCAACCAAATGTCAAAGCCTAAAAGCTTTTAAAATGACCTTCAAATCTTAAAATTTCATTGAATTTAAGAACTGGCTGGAATATTGCACTTCATCTAATCCAGCATCTTTAATTTATAAGTATGCAAACTGAAGTCTAGAAATATATGAGACCTGCCAATTGATGGCAAAACTTTAACTAAAGTTCTTATGTCCTAACGCCAGTCTTCTCCCTTAAACCATACTAATATAGTTACAGAAACCAAAGATTTGGAGATGAGACTTAATGAATCAAAGAAATTTTTAAGAGGAAAAAAACTAATTTAAATTTCAAAATTTTTATCTAGGCAAGCTGTAGGTCTAACATTCCTTTAGGTCTGCTCTTGCACTTTCTCTTTGTTAAGGCCACTTGCCTACAGGAAAAAAAAAATGACAACTACCATTTGAAAAAACTTGTGCATTTGAGAAAGGCATGGTGATCTTTCTGAATATTTGCTCAGTTAGCCTACTGTTTCCCATCTAACTTCTACACAACATTAGTATGGCCATTAATAAATAATACTGTCATATAAGTTTAGAGAGATAAATTAAAGCCATTCATGTTTGTTTACTGAAGAACTTCTTAGAGGTGTTTAGTATGCTTTCATATGTCAGATCTTACAAAATAATACTTTAAAATTTCTCTTACCACTTTTCAGGAAATCTACATGTGCATCTTTGTGATGAAGTAGTTCCACATCATAATTGGCAGATGTGTTAGCATGTTGTTCTTCCTGTAGGCAAAATTTAAAACATTTAAAATGATTTGGTTTTGCTTTCTAAATAAGGAAATTATTTATTTTGCTTTTTGTTTAAAATGAGGCCAAATATATTCAACCATAATTTGCTAAAATAATGGGATAGTCTGCTCAGTAATTAAACTATTTAAAGATGCAATAATTTTCAACAGCGTTATGAACTTTATTTAGAATCTACTGGCTAGGGCTGGAAATGTGGCTCAAGGATAGAGTGTTTGCCTGGAACATGTGAAGCCCTGGGGTTGTTCCCAGCACCACATACACAAAAATAAATAAGTAAAATAAACAAGAAGAAAAAAACCCCACTGGCTACACATAGATATTGAAGAATTTAATGATTATTTTATGTCAGAATTAACATAGATGACTAATCTAGAAATTTAAAACACTTTTTATTCCAAATGTATTCTTGTTAATGCTTTTTTTATCCAAATATAATGTAATTGAAATAATTTACATAAAGTGAAAATGAAATAGTGTTGAAAAGAGCAAACAGCATCTTTAAATACCTGCAGTGAATTAGTGTAAACACCAATTACATAAAATAGCAAATACAAACTATAAACAAGTTTAGCAACTTGCTTTCATAGTAAATAGGAATTTTAACATTATCTATTTACCAAAAAATGAGAAAGATTGAAGAGAGAATCACACACAGTAGCATACTAATGTCAAATTCAACAAGCAAGTCATTTGTTATCCTTATAGTATTATTCTTATAAAATTACACATATTAAAATAAACCTATTACATTATATTACTTGTTAATTGCTTCTGCATCCAAAAAGTTCTAAAAGATAAGATTAAAATTTCTGGAGAAGAATCAAGCCATGGAATAAGGAAATTAAAAATGAAAGTATTATACTCATGCAATTTAGTGTTTATGATGTCATGGCAAAAAACCTGAAACTGGATTATACACAAGACAATTTGAACTTTCAGGTATAGTGATCACTTTATATTTTAAAAATAATCAATACAATTCAATTCTACTCAGTAACAATGCTTCTAAAGCTTCTATTGGTCAGGTATTGTCTTGGTCTTATATGACATAATAACATAATGAAAATCACAGTAATAGAGTCCTAAGAAAATCCATTAGTAAAATTATAGGACTTATGGATATCTACAGTTTTACAGTTTTTCAGTAATAAACTAATTGAAAGCTATGGGCTATTTTTTCCTAATTAGACCTATTATCTATAAATATCTTTATGCTGGGTGGGCAAGAATACAAACACAGAAAAAGGATCCACTAGAAAACACAAAGTAAGTAAAATCTAATATTACAGCTGTCAGGAAAAGAATCACAGAAAAACAATTTAAAATACCCATTATATTTTAATGAAAATAATGAAAACATAATTTTTTTAAATTTCATATAACATGTTATTAGAAATAAAAAATATAGCACTTTATTCTGTGATCCTTTCTTGATGCTTTTCAATATTTACTAACCTGGTCAAAGACACTGAATGTGGGCTAGTAAAACAGAAAATATGATATGGAGAGAAAAAGTAAATGTTCGATTAAAATAAATAATACATATCAAAGACGTATTTAAAAAGCAGTTTTCAAATTTAGCAAAAAAAAGAACGCCTACCTTCATTGGAATATTTGTAATAGTAGTTGAAGCCAAGTCAAAATGTTGCTGTACTAAAATATTCAGTTTGGTAGCAAGATGCCGTCCTGCACGAACACTATGAACTTCACTAGTTAAAACTGGGGACAACTACAGAAAAATATGCAAGAAAAATAACCCACAAAACATTAATTCATTGTAACCTAGTATATTATAATACAAAAAAAAAATAAGTACTTTTACTTTTAGAACTTGGGGGAAGGGGAAAAGCCCACAAATTAACCATGACAGTTATTTAGCAAAATTTTCATATATTCATTCAACACATATTAATCAGAGTTTACTACATTATAAATCAAGAACTGTGTAAGTCACTGGACAATACAATGGTGAACAGTCTCCACCTTCCTAAAATTAGAGTGAAATAATTTTTTATTTAAATATATTTTTAATTTGTATTTTTACTTCTATTCATCTAAGCATAAAATGAATTTGAAGTGACTCACAGAAATACTACAGAAAAAAATAATTCATTTTGTTGTGAAGACAAAATTCTGCAGATAAAACTTAAAGAATATAGGAATCACCATGAACATCTCATTTTGTTGCCAATAAATGAGATAAGGCAATCAAAAGGTATAAGATAAAAAAAAAACACTCATTCCAGGGCAATAATATTTATTATAAATTATTTATTTTAGTTATTATAAAATAAAACTAACATATTGCCATATTATTACAAGAGGCAGAACAAAGTTAATAAAAAATGATAGAGATAATGACTTAAAAATACCACTTAACTATAAAACAGACTACAGCAATACCAGCATAATTATATTAAAAATTGCAAAATAAAAATTCCAGAATATAAGGACATATACTTTTTATAGGTGGGGGGTAGTACTAGAGATTAAACTCAGGGACACTTGGCTACTGAGCCACTCCCCAGCCTTATTTTATATTTTATTTAGAAACAGGGTTTCACTGAGTTGCTTAATGCCTTGCTTTTGCTAAGGCTGGCTTTGAACTTGCAATCCTCCTGCCTCAGACTCCTTAGCTGCTGGGATTACAGGCGTGTGCCACCATGCCTAGCAAGGACATACAATTTTAATTTAACTACATAAATAGATTTGTATTTCTAAACATAGACCACTGATGGAAAATAATCTGACATGAATTCATTTAACAATTAACATAATTATCTTTTCCTTTGAGATTTTCAAATTTAGTTAAAACGAAAAAGTAAAGGTTGAGAATTAAGTTCCCCCCACCACTGCCTAATATGTAACATTAGTTTCTTTATCAACAGAGTGCATTTTTATTAAGAAAAAAGAAAGTATATTGTTTTTCTAATGAAGAGAAGATTTTCATACAGTAAAAATGGCTACTAATAACTGAAATTTATTGAAGCACTTAGGAAGAATATAAATTGTGTATGGTTTGGCAACACATTTTATTGAAATAAACAAATGTCAATAGGCAAGCAAAATAGAAAATACTTTTTTTTTCCAGAAAATACTTTAAAAACTATAATTTTAACAACCTAAACATTTGTCTTACAGGTTTTGCTTTGAAAAATTTAAATATTTTCTTTTCAGTAAATATTGATATTGTGATCACTTCAATGCTAACCTTTCTCAGCATTCATTAATAAGAACTCACAGTGATCTTTTCTTCTGAAACTTTTATACCTACCTCTTTTTTAGGACGATCAGATACAAGGCTGTCTTCACCAACTGGGTAGGTGTGGATCAAGACCAACTCACATTTTTGAATCTGCATGAGACTTAAAGAGAAACTTTTCACTTAAAATATAAGAATATATATTATGTAAAGCATTTGGGTAGGTAAACTACTACAACTTTACTACACTAAAACAATATATTGCTACAACCAGATACTACTGTTAACACAAATGCTAAGTATTTAGAAAGATAGTGTATAACTGCTGTATTTGAACACAATGGTTTTATCAATTTTAAGTACAAAAATAATTTTCTTTTTGAAGGATTAAAAAAATACAGAATTCTTATAATTATCAAAGAGAAAATGAATACATTATATATTAATTTCCCTTGTACTAATAATTTCTCTTAAGAGTAAAATCAGGAAGAGTTGATTATTTCTAAGAACACAGATTAGTAATGCTAAGAACATCCCCCAACTTTATACTGAAATTTTGAGACTCACAGAAAAGTATAATCTTCAATGAACACTCCTATATCTTACATTCTATTAGCTATATCTTACATTCTATTACATTCTATTAGCTATATTTTCTACCTAAAATTAGCTATATTTTCTACCTAAAATTTTATTAAACCATTTGTAATTAAGTTGCAAAAATACTTGAGCATGCTTCTCCTAGTAAAAATAATCCTACAACAATAATACCACTAACCTAAGAAAATGTAATCACTCAATCCAAATTATAATTCACATTATAATTCACATTAAATATGTCCTTACTAACTGTAATGTAACAAGAAATCTGTATTTGGTCTCTGCCCTGGAGTTCCTAGAACAGTGTTCTTAAAACCTGTATAAATTCTTAAGACAACTGGGTTGTACTAACGATCTATTACTCTAGTATTTGATCTTTTTTTTTTTCTTTTTGTATTTGATCTTTGATCTCAGTTTTCAACAAAAAGTTCTTAATTCCCTTGGAATTTCCTGGGTGATAGGAGTATTTTTTGTGCTAAGGAGGAAATTCGTGGTGGGCTCTTTGATAGCTCCTGGATGGTAAAGCTATCACCAGAAAGACCAAGCTATAATTAGAAGTTTAAGAGCTTTCAGCCCTACCCTACCATCCTCCAGGAAGGAAAGAATCATCAGAGAGCAAGAAATCAATCATGCCTATGTAAAGCCTCCATAAAATTCCCTGAAGCACAAGATTTAGAGAGATTTTGTGTTGGTAAACATTTCCACATGCTGAAAAGGCAGTACACCCCAATTCCATAGGGACTAGAGCTCCTGTACTTAGGACTCTTCCTCCTATGTACCTCTTTACCTGGCTGCTTGTCTGTAGTCATTATAATATCCTTTATAATGGGGTATCATAAAAGTGTCCCTCTATTCTATAAGCCACCATAGCAAACTATCAGACAT